GAAAGACAACAAGTTTTGATAGTCACCCTAATCGCATAGTCCCAACTCCACTGAAACATGAGTGGAAAGGCCAGGCCCATGAAGGGAAAGGTTTCATTCTTGGTGAAGTGGTAACAGTCCACAGTAYTCAAGATTGGCACTGCCACCACAGAGCTTGCCGCCCAGCAATATGGCAGCTGTGGCTCTTCTAGAGCAAGAGAGAGGCCAAGGCAATGCAGTGCCAGTGCCTGCATTGTGAAAACACTGCAGAATTGTCATGTCAGTTATGTAAGACTCGACAGGCTGYAGGTTCAGAGGTCTGCAACATACTAGAATCCACTAATATCCAGAACAAGCAGAATTAGAGACACATTGGACAGGACAGAAGCAGTTCAACATGCCTAATGCTTGTTCCTACACTAACAGATTCTGCTGTAAATTAGGATAGAATTCCCCTGTCCTTAAAGAGATATATAGATGAGTTTAATTTTGTGAGGGAATAAATATAAAATGCTGCAACCTGTGCAACAGAAAGATACTTCAAACTCCTCCTTCATGTTTTTCCCTCTTCTGGAAGATATGCCTTGAGTCAGTGAAAATCTCAGATGTCAATTGCAAATGAGGCACACAAAAACTTTGCAATTGCTTCAGCAGGAGTATGTTTCCTCYAGAAAAGAAGGAAATCAAGTTTCTTTGATTCTAAATATTCTCATTTAAAGCTCCCCCACATCTCACACCTATGAGCGAATGTATTTCACATGGGTAAGCTTAGCAAAGAATCACAACCCTTTACTGGAAGTTGTATTTCATGAAAAAAGATCAAAAATGTCAACAGCGAACAAATGTCAAAGAGGTGCCACTTCAAATAAGCCTTTGAACCCATTTGACCAAGGCTATTGTTTAAAAAAAAAATCACACCTGTGTGCAGACAGATAGGCTCTCTTTATCTGGTAAGAACAAGGTGTGGAGACTCATGGGATAGATAATTAATCTCTATTGCTATCTATAGTTTCTTTGTTAACACTGTCTTGGTTGAAGTGTGAAAATATGTTCACACTTTTGAAAATGGGCGATTAGCTAATCAAATGACAATATGAATCTTAGAAACACAGAAATTACTGTAACCCAACACTACTTCTGACAATATATGTTGCTTAAATTTTATAAGAAAAATATTCTGTCAAGCATCCTTCAAGACTCTAACGGAAGTTACCATATCTTGCCACTGTAACAATCAGTGGAAAYCGTGACCACCATCATCAATCTATTTCCACTAGTGCACTCAGTATTTTACYCTCAGGGAGTTAATTGCAGGGAATATTTTCTTTGTATAGACAAGTTCCAAGARACTGTGACAGAAAGATGACATAAGCAGTCCCAAACAACAAGGGGTTCTAAGCAGTAGCCAGTGTCTGTTAGGGCCCTATTAAGTACAGTTGTGTGTATTAAGTAGAACTGGTCTCACATGAGTGCCCCAGGAGATGTTTCAATTAAGCAAGTTTACTGGACAAGTGTTAGTTAAACAAAGCATACAGTACAAGCTTGTATCAAAGTGCTACATGGCAAAAGCCCCACACATTTCAGCACAACTTCACAGGGCTGCCCAAGTTGTGCAAGATTCATATTTTAAAAGATTTGACTAAACACAATTGCATACTCCAGATGACATTTCAAAACTTTCTCCTGGGATAAGATACAAGTTAGACCTCATGTTTAAGGAAGACCCACTTTGCACATTTTTTCTTTTTTTTTTTTTTTTTTTAATGAAACTATCGCTTTATACTGTTGGATGCTTCCACAGGATGAAGTTCATTTTCACAGGCATTTCCACATTAATGAAGGAAGTAAATATATCTTTTCTCTGTAAAGGTCGAAGATCTTACTAACATCAAGACTGCATATAAAAGCATGAAGAACAAAAAYGTTTTGCTTTTTTATCTGTGCTACTAAAATTCTTGACATGGCTCTTAACACTTCACATCTCTCACGCAGTAAATTCCTCTTCTCTGGCCATGAAAATTGTTCTGCTCCTATTCATTCAAGCTGCTGTAAGAATGTAATTTTCCTGTGTCATTGAGTCAGCCATTGTACCACTTCCTGGGATCACTGCACTGACTCCCAAGTCAGACACAAGCAATTTATCTTAATTTAAAGTCATTTGTGGACAGTTTCTATCTTACTGTCTTATGCCATTCCTGCTCTGCATAATGTCAGTCTCATTTTCTTACCTGTCAAGATATCACCTTCTCTGATGCTTTCTCATTTCCAATARTTTCTACTAACCCCAAATGACATGGGACTGTTATCAGCCTCACAGCTGCATATGYCCTCCTCAAAAACTATTTCTGACCCTCAAATCTCCAGAACAAAGTTGTTCTATCATTTTTTTCCCTTTGTATTTGTTTTTATTTCCTCAAGATATGTCTTACTCCCTTTTGCAGTTCTCAGCATTCATCACTCTTGTCTGTCAGACTTGGAAATAAGGCTCCCAGAAAAATCCTGTTTCTGCTCTCCATGCCTGCTACTGGAAGAAGCAGTGGGAGAGGACAACTCTTCCAAGCTACAAAGCTATTGGACATTTATTTTTGCATGAACTGTTTCCATAAAATAAGAAGTAAAGTTCTGGCTAGCATGTAACCTGGGCCTGAAACCGATTGAATTAATACAACACACTGAGCTGACATGTAAGTTCAAAAATCTCCATCAATAAAATAAATCTTCAGCATTCTAATTTTGCAGAGCATATATAAACACCACTAGCCAAGAGGTTAAGAGCAGCAAAACTTGTTAACTTAAATAATACCTTTTCTAAAAAAACTGAACTTACTGTTGGAAGTGTACTTTCCTCTTTTTGGCTCTCACACTGCAAGCTCCTCTTTGTTGATTGGCTGGCATCTTTTTTTTTCCTTTTTTTTTCTAACCACTCTCTTACATTCATTGCAGAAGTGGCATAGGCCAAAATCCCTTAATAAAAGAAATATACATAAGTTGACATGTTGCACTTGCACAGCTCTGTCCAATTAAAATTCTCAAAACATTTATAAACATTAACTGAAGTGGTATAGCTTAAAGTTGCAGAAAACAATTGTAATATTCACATTGTACTCTAAGGAGTGAGACCAAACTTGTTGTTAAAAAAAGAACAGCAGAAAGGCACTTAATGGTATAAAGCTCTAGACCAGTAAGGCCAAAAGCATTCGACTGGAAGATTTTGTCTACATCACGCTCTACTAATTTCTGTGAATGTATCAACATGAAGAACTTGGCTCTTAGTGTGGCCTCAAGTTGAAACAATGTATTTTCAAATAAAGGGACTAAATTTTCATTCAGTGAAAATACTGTCAATCTGGGGAAAAAACGCACTTTTCCCCCAGATTGAAACTTTGATGGAAATTATTTTTAATAATAAATAACATGGTGTTATCAAACCTGAATTTTCTAGACTGCTTGTTATCTTCCAGAGGCTTACAAGGTCTATCTGGTGTTTGGGGGAGGCTCCCGGACTTCTCACTTCCCTGAGAAGGTAATGTTTAATTGTAATGAGAATGCAATGTTTTCACCTTTCCACTGAACAGAAAGTAATAATGCCAGATAACAGAGGAAATACTGCCTTTAAAAGAATTTTTGCAGCCTCCTGTAAGAGGCTACTGCATGAAATAATTGATTTTTCATATCAGCTGTCAGTCTAAAATAYTAAAGATGGGCAAAGAGGGTGGGTTTTCTGAAAATTCTGGGTTGTATTTATTAAAACAAGTCTTGAGTTTCAGACATGCCTCCTTGCTTTTCATTTMTTTTAATTTCTAGGGAATCATGTTCTTGGGTTTTTAAATATATGGCAGTTTCTGGCAATTTATCAATTTAATTTTTTTTTTAATTCCATGTTTTGAGTCCCAACCTTGCCTTGCGCCATGAAAAACTAAAAGTTGGTTAATTAAGTATACTGCAGAGTCCTAAATAAGAGTTGCAGGTAGGGCACTGGATTTCCTGATTCCTCTGTCAACCGAACAGCTGTCACAGGAACATGGTCCCAAAGACACTGAAGCATGAGAGAGAACCTCTTACCTGCTGACTGGAAGGCCCTTTTTATGGGCACAAACAAACTCATCAATAAAAACAGCCACCAATGAAATTCTCATTTTCCACTTCAAGTCCTTGCTGTGGAAGCCTTGGGCACCCCAAGTCCTGGAGGCTGTGACATTGGTCTCTGTCAGAGGCTGCACACTTCCCTGAGGTTCCCTGGGAATCCGGGGCTCCTTATGCCCACAATTGTCAGGAGCCAGACTCTGGGCTCCTCAGTACAAGTGGAGGGCAGTGAGAATGACTTGGGGGCTGGAGCATTTTCTATTACACGGAAAGGCTCAGGGAGCTGGGCCTGGTCAGCGTCGACAAGAAATCATTTATGGAGATCTTATCAATGCATGTAAGTATCTAAAGAGAGTGTGCCAAGAGGATGGAGCCAGGCTCTGCTCAGTGGTGCCAGGAAATAGGACAAGAGGCAATGAGCAGAACCTGAAGCACTGGAATTTCCACCTGAATATGAGGGAGAACTTATTTATTGTGTGGGTGACCACGCACTGGAACGGGTTGACCAGAGAGGGTGTGGAGTGTCCCTCACTGGGCTCAAGAACGATATGGACATAATCCTGTAGGATAACCCTGACTGAGAAGGGAGGTTGGACCAAAAGACCCACTGCGATCACTTTTCAACCTGACCCATTCAGTGATTTTGTGACCCCTCGGTGACTCCCCGAGTATGAGCCCACCTACATTCCCTAGGCCCCGCTCACCGCGGTAGCGGTAGCGGCTCAATCCCAACGCCTCAGGCTCGCCTCAGGGCCTCCTCAGGGTCGCCTCAAGGTCACRTAAAGGTCACCTCAGAGCCGCCCCGGAGCCCACAACACCGCACACCAAAATTCGCTGCGCATTGCCGGCCCCGGTCTCCGCCCGATGCGGGGAGGAGCGGGAGGAGCGGCCGGGGCTGTACCGGGGCTGTGCGGGGGCAGTGCCGGGGCTGTGCTGCGCCTGCGCCGCAGGGCCGGGGAAGTGGCCGCGCGGGGTGTGCGCAGCTGCCGCCGGCGCGTGGGGCCGCAGATGGAGCCTCCCCCCGGCGCCGCAGGTAGGGGCGGCTGACGGGCGGGCGGGCGACAGAGCGGGAGGGAGGGAAAGAAAGAAAAAAAGAAAGAAAGAGGGAGGGAGGGAGGGAAGAAAGAAGGGAGGACGACGGGGCGGTGGAGCAGTGATGCGGGGGAGTGCCCATACTACCCCCACCGTCCTCTCGCCTCTCAAGGCTTCCTGTGGGAAACCCCCGCCGCTTTCCGCTGGCCCCTCACACCCGCCAGAGAGGGCGGTGAGCTGGGCTGCGGTTCACAGCCGGTGGGTGCTGGGAAGGGCCACCCTCAGGGACTCCTGCCCGTCTTCCGCGAGGTTCCGGGCGGACTGGGACGTCCCCGCCGCCCTCAGCGGGCGCCCGCCGCCACYTCCCTCCTTCCCTCCTTGCCTCCCTGCTACCGCTGCCGTGACCTCCAGCTGCACGACGCGGGGCGCGGCCACCTCCGGGGCATCCCGGTGCCCGCGGGTGCCKGCTGTAGCTTCTCTGGCTGTGTAACAAACCTAAAGGCAAAACACCAAGGTTATGTGGTCCTCGTCTTCGTGCTACGAGATCTTGTCCGAATGGTGCTACACACATGTCCACAGGAGTGAGTGGAAGCCCCTGTCCTTAATACCCATGCAGTGTTCGCTCATGTGCCCAGAGTTGCCGAGGCAGGTGCCCTCGGCTTGGTGTGTTAAAAGGGTTTGGGCCTGCTTCAGCTAACGCAAGGCATTGAGGTTTCCGCAGCTGGTGGTGAGCTGCAGTGGTTGTGGCTGTGCACCTTAGTCCCTGCAGCCTGTGGCTGCTTCTCCAAAAGCCAAAGGATGCTCTCCAAGGCCAGGCTCTCGGTTTCTGATGGAAACCTGTCCTGGACCCGGCTCTCCAGGCCTTGCAAACAAGGTGTTCATAGAGAAGTCAAGTTCTGGGTTTATTGATTGTATCCTGTAAACATTGATCTGAATTAAAAAAAAAAAGTTGTGAAACTTACCGTTGTATTTCAAATGCTGGATGTTCGTCTACAGTGTAGTTTTGCTTCCCAGTTGTCCTTTGGAAAAAGCCTAGTTAATATATTAGCTAATGCAAAGATTTACAGAATATTCAGAGTTGTAAGGGACCCACAAGGATCATTGAATCCAACTCTTAAGTAAATGGTCCGTAATGGATTGGATCTAACCCGTGACCTTCGTGTTACTAGGATCATTCTCTAACCAACTGAGCTAATCCCAGTGATTCAAACTGTTGCAATTTCAGTGTAAAACAAAAAGGATGGTGCCAAACACTGGAGTTCATCAGTGTTCTGCTTCCCTATTTATGTATAYAATGACATTATCTGTCCCTCCCAAACCAGATTGTGGTTGTATGTTAGCTGTGGTAGGACTCCTGAGAGTGTACTTTGGTTACGTGCTATGTGACACCAATACTGAGATTCATCTGCTGAGCCGTGGCGTTGCTTACTGACACCTTTCTAAATCTTCTACCTTGTTATCCAGTATCTTTTGCTTCCTCCCCCCACTCCCCATCAGTCTCTGACTGTTACTGCTCTGTTGAAAACCTCATAATRAACTAAAAGTAGAGATGTCTAAGTGAGGAAATAGAGAAACTGGAACAATAGCTGCAAGAGGTGTGAGCTGCCTTGTTTGTATTAGTAAGGTGTTAACCCAAATACCCYGGTGTGGTGGGTTTTAGTGTCATCATTGTTAACTGCTTCTTGGCTCATATAGGAGAAAAAAGAGAGAGTACCACCGTTTTATAAATTGTTACTATGACTGATACTTCATTTAATAGTCACAAAGACAAAAATATTCTCAGGGCTTTGAGAGGCAGTAGGAAGTGAATATCAAGGAGTCCTCTGAAGCTCAGAAAGTAGAACCTGTGAATTATGTCGTGATTTGTATGAAAGGAGTTTTTTGATAGCTGCAGTTTGTCAAGGAACTGTGGTTATGTCATTCGGAGATTATATCCAGTAAATAAATTGGTAGATAAATATATTCACAAAATTTTATGTTCATAGAATCATAGATTATCCTGACTTGGAATCGACTCTCRAGGATCATCAARTCCAATTCTTGSCCCTGCACAGGACTTCCCCAGGAATCACACCATGTGCCTGAGAGTGTTGTCCAAGCATTTCTTCAACTCTGTCAGACTTGGTACTGTGAGAACTTCCCTGAAGAAGCCAGCCACCATCTGGGTGAAAACCTTTTCATAATATCCAATTTAAAACTTCCCCTAACTCAGCTTAGTGCCATTCCTTCAGCGTGTCACTGGTCACCAGGGAGATCAATGTTTGTTTTCTCTTCTTTCCCATTTGAGAAAGCTGTAGACTGCAGTGAGGTCTCCCTTCAGTCTCCTCTGGGCTGAACAAACCAAGTGACCTCAGCTATTCCTTGAATGGCTTTAGGCTCTTCCTCTCCTCTAGGCCCTTCACCAAATTTGTAGCCCTTCTTTTGATGCTCTGCAAAAGCTTTCTGTCCTTGAACTGTAGTGCCCAAAACACACAGTACTCAAGGCAGACTGCCCCAGTGCAGAGCAGAGCAGGACAATCCCCTCCCTTTCCCATCTGGTGATGMTGTGCTTGATGCTCCCTAGGACATGGTTGGCCTTCCTGGCTGCCAGGGCACTGCTGGCTCACATTCAGCTTGCCATTAACCAGCACTCCCAGTTCCCTTTCCTCGGTGCTGCTCTGCAGATGCTTGGTCCCCAGTCTGTATGTACATCCAGGGTTGCTCCGTGCCAGGGGCTAAACTGCATTAAGCTTTACATGGTCGATTGTCCAGCTCTCTAATTTGTCTAGGTCTTTCTAGACAGGAGGATCTCTCTGCCTTTGAGGGAGTCAACAGCTCTTCCCAATTTAGGAAGACATTGCACTATTTTGTTTTATCTTTCTCCAAAATGAATGTKCTGCAGCCCAGCATTGAATTTGATTTTTGTATGCAGCACTTCCAAAACTACGTAAGGTGATGTTTTTAGTAGTAGAGGCCATGGGTTATGAGAATGCTCATTTTCTTTTTAATGTGCACTTTGTTATAGYTGTCCTTTTCTGCTGGTGATGTGTAGATCCACAGTTAAAGAATCACAGATGTTTAAAGAGAAAAGTGGAGTCATTGACAACAGCTGAGATACACAGTACAGCTTTTGGTACCTATCCTACATATGTGGCTTGAAAGCAGGAGGGCTGAAGACTGATTTAATATTTTTCCTAAGATATTTAACATGTCTGTCTCTTGATGTCATGTGGAAGTCTAGGTTGTTAAAYASARCAGTAGTTWATSRGTGGAAGGAGAAAATTTGGCTTGTRGAATAGTTATGACTTGTTTCAAAGTGGCGAGGGCAATAAGACTAGAGATAGAAGAATATACTGAAAAGAATGAAATAATAACTTCAAAAGATAGAAAGGATAAAATAATGGGAGATAAAACAATGTTGAATTTAAAGAGCAAAAATATATAAGTAAAAGGAAAACTGRCTTTTCAGCTGTTCTTTTTCAACTKTTAATTAAACTTCYTTTAGGTAAGTTTTGKGATTAATARCATAAGTTGCCAGAATAACATCTSCAAGCCTTTTGTTAATTTAACTRAAAGGCTTTTAGGCTTGTCACCTCATGCTCTGGAAATTAAGAAAAAGCTGATGTGTTTTGATAATATTCCTGATGTTATTTTCCAAGTTCTTCATTAATTTGTATTGTATATACTGATTGTTCATTAACTTTGTAGGCACAGAAGTCAGAGGTAGTCACTGGTTTTTTTTTTTTATCTCTTAATCCTTACTTCCAGTTAAAGAAATCAAAATAAAATGCAGGCAGAATGGTATTTTGTCCTGTTATTCATAAGCCTTCCTCTTCGTTTGTGTAGTATTGTTTATTTGGAATGAAAGGAGTGGCTAAAGAGCTAAATATTCAAGCTCAAGGAGTTTGGGCAGATTTTTCTTATAATGAAACTTTTATTTGTGATTTACATTGCTYTTCATTACACYATGTCACACACTCYTRAAAATTAGTAAAGAGGACTATGTAGTGCTGGAGCAGCTGATCAATGGTAATGGGCATGGTGGCAAGTGTTAGGTGGTTAACATCTCCTCTTGTAATAACTGAGGGATTTGTTGGTTGTTAGATTTTCTGCATCCCTTCTTTGTCCAGATATTGGGTACTTTGCTCTTTCTATCTTTTACTTCTTATTCATCTCTTGTTTCTGATGCAGATTATTGCACAGTTTTATATGTTGTTGATTAGTTCTATTTTATGTGGTCTGTTTGGTTTATACAATTCAGATGGTTTGTGGTTTTTTTTCGGGATCTTTCTCTCTTACTCCAAGTGGAAGTAAGCAATAAATTCTTGGACAGCTTTCACTGTRAGTTAGAAAGGGCATAGAAGAAATAGGGATTGTACACGTGGGACTGGTTTCAGATAAGAGGTGCTCAAACACATGGGYTTGACTTTYTAAAAAGAGTGRAACCCTATATGTTGRAATTGGATTGTGTCCGTACTGCTGGTTTATTTTGACATCTCAGAAAAAACCCTGCAATGTGTATTTGGTTGCTGAAATACTGCTGCATGGTGCTTTGTCTAAGTGACAGAAAGTGGTGTTGAGGATTTTGCATCAGTTACCAAGTGAAATGCTCAGAAGCTTTACAGTAGAGGAATTAGGTCTGTCTCTGCTAGTTTAATCCTTGTTCAGTCCACAGCTCTAGTTGTTACTCACTCTGTGTTTTTTGTGTGTGGTTGGAATTCTCATYTGTTGTCAGATGGGATTTGAGGTGGGCTGAGGAGTTTGCTGTATAGGTAGCTCACAACCTGAGTTTTCMTAACTGGCARGTCTGTCATMCTTGAACAATGCTACAGGCTACATRTTAATGAAGCTGCATTATTTCYAGTAGTAAATATGAAGTCCTAATCTGTAATTAATTTTCAGGACCTGTAACTGGATTTGCTCTGTGATCAGCAGTGTAAAAATATCTCCTTGTGCYGGCTTGGCTTTACTTATTACTCACTAGATGTATGAGCATTTGCAATCTGCATGTAATTAACAAGA